ACGTGTGCTCTTCCGATCTCCCCAAAACCCCAAAACCCCATAACTCTAATTTATTAAGTATTGGAATGAATCAAAATAAAATGAAAAATGTTAATTGAATCTAAGTAAAGTTATATTTATAAATTTCATTTAATGGATTCAGAATACACATATCAGCCGTAGTATATTTGGAAGACCACAGCCAATGATGGACTTCTTCCCATAACAAATTTTACTGAGGAAATAAATGAAAGTGAGATGCGTAAGAGAGGAAAGAATAAAGATTAGGGAAAAGAATTAGGAGTCATTACTGAGTTAAAAGATGAATAGGAATAGTAAAAATAAAGATAGAAAGGATTTTCGAATGGGTTTTACGTTTATGTTGCAAATAAAGGTGTATATGGTCTTATAAAATCAAAGAAAAGTGATACTCAGTATGTGTTAAAAGTGAAGAACGCATTATCAAATGAATTTGATGATTTGGAGGTTGATACAACTGTAGATGATGTTAAAACAGACATAGAACTTTGTATCAGGGTAGTCATAAGTGAAGACAAAAGATTTTCACTCATTGTTAAAAAGCAAACAAATGACAAAATGAAGGCCATTGCAGAAGAACTTGCAGAGTTATTGAATATTAAGAAGTATTCACTAACTTTTTTCTACAGGGGAGAGAAGATTAGCTTCAATGAAAGGTTTGGAGATAGGAATATAGGAACACCTTCGAAAGCTCAGAATAATAGTATTTCGAACTCCGTAAGTGGAGAAAGTGCAAGTGACAATTTCATTTTATGCTTAAAAGGTGGAAATGAGGGCCCTAAGTATTGGAAGAGATTCATGACTGTTGATGATCCATGTCGTTAATTGAGTTATATTGCAGATGATGAGGCATTCGATGCTATATCTTTTGTCCCCAAAAAAGATATTTCTTTCACCGGATTTAGTGTTTATCCCGTGGCTAATACTGACATTGACTTCAAATGCATTTATAAATACAAAATAGGCAGTGAGTCTTCTTAAGAAGCAATAGCAGAGTTCACACAAGCAGATGTCGATAAAAAGCATGTGGATATAATCTTTGATTAGGAAATCCCAGTTCAAGCAAATAAACCAATCACAATTATGGTGAGATTTACTGCTGGAGAGGAATTTTTCTGCAGTACATTACTGGGCTATTAGGGAGAAAACTATATGAATATTCCAGAAAATGAGGATAAGGAATTGTTTGAAATCAGGGAAACCTCAGATTGCACAAAGGGAGAAACTGATCTAAGGTTTGGGTAAATACCACGCATAATATACTTTCTTTAGTGACATTATTCTAATAAACATTATTAAAAATCATCTATATCATTCATTACAATTATCAAATACTCTTCACTTTCATATTATTTCTTTCAAGCCCATCTGAATTCAACATTAAATTATGAACTTCATCTCTAACTTGCTTAGTATCTTGGAATCCTCAAACTTTCTTGATGTTTCGTAGTTTCTTCCTATCTTAAACTGCAAGACTGATTCTATTCTTTTGATTGATTTAACTAGTTGATAATGTCCTTTCCAAAAATTTTCAAACTCATGTTCTGCTAAACACTTTGGAAGTACTTATCCAGTTCAGACTCAGCTAGACTTGTGCTATTTAGTTAGTCTTGAACATCTTATTTTTCTTCATTTTCAATACTTAAATTTACAATTCCCATTTAGACATAGTTTGATTTTTGCAGTTAAATCTTTTACGATTTTAAATCAGTAGGAGATTTCAATTTAGATACAAACTTTTTGCTAGATTTAGGAGTTTAGACTTAATTTTCTTAATTTTAGAATCGATTGGATGTTGAGGTTGATCTCTCCTTGATTCTTTCAGCTCTTGTCCTTCTTTGTCTTGTTGGGGTTACTCCCTAGTTTTCATTTTGATTATGAGTTTTAAAATTAGAGAAATTGATTGTATTCCTGCCATAGTTCTGTTCTAGTTTTATCAATGAATTGCATTTCATGCTTGTCAGTTAATTTTCTATATTCTGAACTTTGAAAGATAATATTGAATCTAAAGATTCTGGACCCGTTTTATATCTAAGACTTTCCTTTTTTGGAGAACATGGCTTAAGAAGGCTTTGCTATCCTGAGAGACTGAAGAAGTCTAAATCATTCGTACCGCTTGATGTTTCTCTATTAAGTTCAAGGATATTCTTATTAGTAGCTATTGAATCTTTAGATTCACATTGATTCAAGTTGTCTGATGTTTGTGTTTTTGAGAGTAATTATTAAGAGCTATTGTTTCCTGAGGACAAGTCACTATACTCATCAAATTACTTAGCCCATACTTTCAAATTTTCAAGTCTTTATAGATTTCTAGGAGATTTTGAACGCTACTGATTACTCCCTCCATGCCTTAAGCTCTCGTTACTAGATAGAGATTATGTTTAGAGCGGTAAACTTGATTAAGGTAACTCTTCAGCATCATCCTCTAAAGACACTGATACTTAGATCGGTTGAAGTAAAATCTTAAAGGAATCATTATGACTATGGTCTATAAGAATTTTTTAGGCATGGTCTTAAGCTGACACATATATAAATGAAGAAGCCGAAGAAATACAAGACTCACCAAGCGGGGTTTATGCTGAATTAGTTGAGTAAACAGAGTTAATTGATTATTATTCATACCTAGATACATTGCTATTAACATTATTTTACCTGAATGGATTCTTAAACAGTTTCTTGTCAACTGCTTTAGAAATAATCTAATCATTTTACTCTTGAAATTATAGTTAGCCATCAAAAGTTATATTATCCATTTTAGTGGCACTCTCTTATAAAGTGCTGTTTATATTCTAGAAGGTTACCTAACTTATAATCTTTCTGCTGTCCTCATATTATGAGTCTTTCTCTTTTAATGGGGAAATCTTTAACTCTTACTATGAGGATAATTCTCTCATCTCTAAAATCCTGTTTGAGGAGCCGACTGAACTTAAATGCTAGAATCCAGGAGTACTAGTTACTAAATTGTTGTTATCTTGTTTTGTTTCATTTAAGGAATTTATTTGTAGAGAAAAATCAGACATTTGCTCTTAGAACAGATTTTAAGGTATATTAATTTTATTTGTCAAATAAAGTATCTCTTTTGATTCAATTGACTGCATAAGACTGTGATTATAATCATTATTTTCACAATCAGGATCGATGAGACTAATTGAGAATTAATACTTATGCTATGGTCTATCCTTAAAAGACATGATGGAGCTCTGTCTGCTATGATTATCCAAAACCTAATCAGGCATTTCAAGTTTTATTTCATTCTTCTCATGTATGAGAGTGTAATCTAAAAATGCCTTTAGCTTAAAGAACCAGTGTTATATTTTCAATGCTTTTCTATTAAGGACATATATAGAGTACTTGTAATTCTTGAATTTTCTTTGAGTTAGAAGAAGCTAAGATTCATATTCTTCAGGATCTATTCTTGGTTTATTTACCCATCTATCAAGAGTTGGAGACTTTAATAAATCCATTATTTTGTAATTAACGTATAATCAGAGTTAAAATTTTTAAGTATAATTAAGTTGTTCAAATTAGAATAAAGCTTCATAAATTTATTAAATTTAAGCAGATATTTGATTCTCAGAAAATTGTGCATTTGCAAGTATCCTCTGTCTAGTTAACAGACTTCTTCTTTGTTTTCTTATTTTAGTCTTCATCAAGCACATCCTTGTTGGTAAGGCCCTTCTTTGCCTTTTCACTTTTTCTCTCAACTTCTCCATCAGTGGTTTGCTTTTACATCTCCTAAATGTCCTTGATCTTTTGGTCTACTTCGGTGATTTGCTCATCCTTGGCTTAAACTTCAACGACATTGTCTCCAGTCTTGGAATCCTCTTTTTAATCATAATGATGTTCATGCTCATGATCATGATGGTGCTCATGATTGTGGTTATGATCATGTGCATGATTGTGCTCATGTTCATGATGATGGTGCTCATGGTTATGCTCTTCATGATGATGATGTTCGTGATTTTCAACATGTGCATCGTGATGCTCATGATGAGTTTGAGGAGCATCAATGTTGTCATCATTATTATGAACAGCTGGTTGAGTTTCTTGATAAGTTTGCTCTTGATCATGATTGTGGGCTTAAGGTTAATTGTGGTCTAATTCTTGCTCGTGATGTTCATGCTCGTGATGATCATTATGTTAGTGTTGCTCGTGGGTTTAAGCATTAGAATTATCCTAAAAGAGCATTATTACATTATTTTGTCTTACCTCATGTTGATGATCATGATGTCCTTTTTCATTTAAGTTGTGGTCGATTTCAGCATAATGATTGCCTTCCTCTTGATGTTAATGATGTTCCTATTAATGATTGAACTCAGCATTGTGAGTTTCTAATTGTTGGTTCTCTTGGTGAGCTTCGTCTGACATAATCTAAGGGATCTAGATAATATTATACTATTTAATATTCATGGTTTTCTTTAGATTAGCAAGTACAGTCTAAAGGGGTTTTGGGGTTTTGGGGTTTTGGGGTTTTGGGG